CGATGACATACTAGCATTTCTTTTCTTCTCTGGTTCTTGTTCTTTACTGTAAGATTTCTCTGATTCTTGTGCAGTAACTATATTGTCTTCGACAAATGTTTATTTCCAGAATTTATAACTTTATTGAGATATTTAAAATAAACCCACGACAAATATCAGTGACATGCCGCATTTGGATCATGCATGTGTGGAGTCCAGTCTGCTGTGGCCATTGTGGTGTATCCAATAAAGTTGAGACACATATTGACAAGTTCATGTGATGATGTGAGCGTTAAACTTGTGTGACAATTATTAATTATTATTTTAATTATTTATTTATTAATATTTATATTATTAATAATTATTCAAAGTTATGCTTCTCATGTCTATTCAAAATTCGAAGGGTTTCTTTGTCTTTCACATGCCATCTAAGGTCCGTTAACAATTTTGGATTAAACTGGCAGTTTTCGGAAGTTCAGATACTGAATTGGCACGTTTTAAAGTTCGGGTACTAAAGTGAGATTAACCCCAAAGTATAGGGTACTAATCTGCAATTTATCCTTAAAAAAAAAAAAAAAAGAAATGATGTCCCCTGGACTCCTTTTTTTTTTCATCAGTAACAATGAAAAAAATTATTAATTGGGAAAAGTTAATGTACATAGGAGTGGAGGGATTGTCAACCTCAACTAACCATCCATGGGAGGTTCAGTATCAAGTACAAGTCCCCCATAGTTGTACAATTCCCCGATACATCAAGTTCTTTGTTACCCCCTGTTTCGCCAGCCCATCTGCAAGACTGTTAGTAGAGTTAGGTGTTCATTATATGACTGCTCCCGATTCCTTTATTATCTCTTTAGCTTATCTGATCTCATATATCTGCTTCCATGCTCTCTCCTCAAATCTTTAGCCCTTTTGAGACCTGCAAAAGCAGCCTTCAGCTCTGCCCTAATAGCCCCTGGACTCTTAGACATATAATCAGAGTTCAGTGAAGCAAAGGCATTGCTATCCAACATGAATTGCTTGTTTACTTGTATTTTCAGATCTGTAAATAGCCTTGTTGATCCTTTAGCAGGGACTATGGTGTCTAGAGAATAGCTAATTTATGGGCTCCAGGCCTGTTGGTGAATCTGTAACATTGGATTAAAGGGGAAAAAAGAGGGCTGAAGGTGTTTTTAGGTGGAGTTAGATGTTAGCTTTGGTATATTTCAGACTTTGTTTGCTTGGTTTTTACTGATTCCCCATCCCATTATCTTAGGACTGGGTTTTCTTGACATGATAATAAATTCTGATTATTGTTGCTGATTGAAAATTTGAAAATTAATAAATGTACTAGTCCTGTGCTGCTATTTCAAATTCTTCTAAAATGCTTAATATTCAGGCTTTTTCTTTCCATGACCTGCTTCTCATTATGCTAAAAGGCACCCAAAAACAGAATCTGGAGTTGGAGGCTGTATCCTGTTTTCCTTGTTCTCTTTTAATTTAATTTTCCCCTTTTTTTTTGAGAAAAGTTAACCAAGATTCATTAATAAAAAAAGGGGGGCATTGGAAGATGTACAAAGCAGGGGAAGAACCCCTGTAAATTACAAAGGAGGAAGCTTGTCGCTATAAAGATGCTCTAAGAACACTCCACATTTAGTTAAGCCATCTGCTGTATGATTGTATTCCCTTGGAATCCAAACTAACTTTACATTTAGGAAGTCCAAATAGTCCCTGGCCTCATCAAGATAGTGACTTAATCTCCAAGGCTCTCCTTCTTTGTCTCTTAACCATTTTATAGTATTGGCTGAATCACCTGCAATGGTTACATTTTGAATTCCCAAATTTTTTATTTTTCTGATTCCTGTGAGGGCGGCCATAACTTCAGTCTTTGTGGAATCTGCCACACCAATTGGGCCACTGAAAGTCCAACAGATGTTTCCCCTTTCATCCCTTAAAGTTCCTCCAATACCAGCTAATCCGGGATTACCTAGAGCACTGCCATCAAAGTTTAAGATCATCACCCCTTCACTGATGGGATCAGGAATTCTCAAGGGTGGTTGATGGAGGTGAGGGAGAAATAGAAAGGGGAACACATCTCTATTGAGGTCACTGACTGAGACTCCTTTGAACAGATCTGAATTCACCGTCCAAAATTTACAAAGGTATGAAATGTCTGAAATTAACTCCTCCAGGGACTTTAGTTTGTTGTCAAAAAGCCTTTTGTTTCTTTCGTCCCAAACACCCCACAGCACTACATGTAACGCTGATTGCCAGTAAGTTTTACCCCTCTTACTTAACCCTGTTCCTTGCCACTGATGTAGAAGGTGACATCCTTTGGTATAGTCCAACTGTCGCCTGCCATTTTCAGAAAATGGAACCAAATCTTTTGGGTGAAATTGCAATGAAGGAAGATGTGATCTGCTGATTCTCCTTCACTGAGGCATAAAATACAAACATGAGGGGAAATAGAYAGTCTTCCCAAAAWCTTTTTTTGCAAGAGATCACAAGTGTTAACTTTCTGGAGGCAAGCTTCCCAGACAAAGAAGCAAACTCTTGAGGGGATGTGGCTGCACCAGATCTTTTTAAAAGGAAAGGGGGGATGATGGTTATCAGTAATCAAAGCCTTGAACATAGACTTAGAAGAAAAATCGCCATTGGGGTGCAGGGTCCAGATTCAGGTGTCAGACTTAGAGGGGGAGATGTAAGCTTCTTTAAGGGTCTGAATTAAAGATACTAATTCAGAAATTTCTGAATCTCTTAGGGGTGTCCTGAGTTGAAGGTTTAGGGTGTTCTCAACTGTTTGGTCTGGAAGGCAGCAGAAATGGTGGCTTCTTTTTGAGAAAATTTAACCAGAATTTATTAAGAAGAAAAAAAGGAGGGGGATCAAGGGGAGATATACAAAGCAGGGGGGAACCCCTATAAGTTACAAAGGAGGAAGCTTGTCGCTATACAAAAATACACACCAAATTTAGCTAGGCCATCTGCAGTATGATTGTGTTCCCTAGGAATCCAAACTAAATTAACATTCAAACCATCCAAAGAATCCCAAGCTTCAGTCAGATAATGATAGTCTCCAAGGGCCCCCCTCTTTGTCTCTTAACCATTTTATCGTATTTGCTGATTCACCTGCAATGATCAAATTCTGAATTCCCAATTTCTTTATTATTCTGATTTCGGTGAGAGCAGCCATTACTTCAGCCTTTGTGGAGTCAGCCCAGCCGATTGGACCACTAAAATTCCAGCAAATATTGCCCCTTTCGTCCCTAACTGTACCACCGATACCTGCAAGGCCCGGATTACCTAAGGCACAACCATCAAAATTAAGGGTTATCACTCCTTCACTGATGGATACGGGATGCCTCAAGGATGTTTGCTGGGGATGAGGGAGAAACAGAAAGGGGTGAATATCTCTGATAAGAACATTGACTGAAAGTCCTTTAAACATAGCTGAATTCACCATCCAAAGGATGCAAAGAGTCTAGGGAAGGAGGCAGCAAGGGTAGAATCCCCCCACCAAAGGTCTTTCCAGAATTTTATTTTTGAGCCATTTCCTACTTTATATCTTATGAAAGGAAAGAAAGAAGAATAGGTGGAGATGATACCTTTCCATGGATTTGTGGATTTTATCCTGTTCAAATGAAGATTGCTATCCCACTCGTTTGCATTTGATCCGTATTTAGTTGATATGACAGCACTCCAAAGAGCATTGGGTTCTTTAGGGAACCTCCACAGCCATTTACCTAAAAGAGAAGAATTTTTCTCTTTTAAGTGTCCAATTCCCAGGCATCCTTCTTCTTTAGGCTTACAAACTTGTTTCCAACTGACTAAATGACTCCTCTTATCCCCACCTCCTTCCCAAAGAAAGTTCCTTTGAATCCTCTCAATCTGATTCCTGATTTTGTTTGGAATCTGGAAAGTTGAAAGGAAGTAGACCGGCAAATTTGCTAAGGAGGCCTTCAAGAGAGTAAGTCTTCCCCCCTTTTGAGAGATAGCATTTCTTCCAAGCTGAAAGTTTCTTCTCACATTTTTCCACCACTCGTTTCCAGAAATTGAGAGACTTTGGATTCCCTCCAAGAGGCATCCCAAGGTATGAGATAGGAGGGCTCTCCACTTTACACCCCAATAAAGATTTGAAGCTCTCCAAGAGTTCCACTTCCACTGAATTCAGAGGAACCATAGAACTTTTGTAGAAGTTGACCCTCAAACCTGTGACCATTTCAAAGCATTCAATTATCCTTTTAGTGTTTGTGATGTTGTTCAAGGAGGCACCCAAGAACAAGATTATGTCATCAGCAAACTGTTTATCAAAAAAAAAAAACAGAATCTGGATCTGGAGTTGACAAATCTAATTCCTCCCTAGGAGAAGGGCAGGTGGTTACCAGCCCTAGAGATGTATCAAACCATATTGTACATAATTTTCTTATAATGATCAACAAAGTTGACCTTCTTTTATTTCTTTTGAAGGGCTATACAACGGGGGGTAGCCCATCCCCCAAACCAAGGTGTAGGCGGGATTCAATCCCAAGTCTCCGCTACGACCAGCAGGAGACCGTACCAACCTGCTAGTTGACACCTTGCATCAATAAAGTTGACCATTAACAAAGAAAAAGTCTAATTCCTCCTTTAGATCCAAATCTTCCTTAATCCAATGTTAAATTTTCAGTCTTGATCTTATGCATGTGCTCTATAGATCATTTTGTTTCTAATTTTTCACTGTTTACTCAATAGCAGATTTATTCTTATGTAAAAAAGAATAGGTTATATACAAGTCTTTCCAAGAACCTACAGTGTCAGTTTGGGTTAACCCAGATGCCTAGCCCATCATAAGCCCCTTCATTTGATTGCATGTGTCATTCTGTTTCCCTATTAGAGATCTCCTAATAAAAGCGATCCCTGTTACTACTGTATCTTTCTAGTGCATCCATCATGCCATTTGCTGATCTTTGTATCTAAATGAAGGTGGTACTCTCTTCACTTGCTAGGTATCTTCTCTTTGTACTATTATGATTCTTTAGTAAATGCCCTACCATCTCATCTCTCAGGGTGGCATATATACTCTTCCAAGTCATTTATCAGCTGGAGCCAGGGATTTGATCCCAAGGATGCTTGTGGTTGATCCAATGAAGAGGATGACAATTCCTGAAATCCGTCAACACCCATGGTTCCAAGCTCACCTTCCACGGTATCTGGCTGTGCCTCCACCTGACACCATGCAGCAAGCAAAAAAGGTATGGGTTTGCATTTTTTTTCTTTCTTTTCTGTGTGGATGAGATTTTCATTCTTCAATATGGAGGGATTAAGGGACTCATGTATCTTTTTTTTTTAAGGAACTCGTTTATCTTTACAAACACTGAACCAAGAAATGGTCTTTGAAGTTGGATTTAAGCCAGTATCATGTTCATATTTTTTTTCTTAATAAAATTTCTATTTATTTTCTTAAAAAAAAAAGCACATTGGATTGGCAGAAAACACACAGGTTGTGTGAGTGCAGTCATTGTGCAATACAAAATTCCTAACTTTATGATTACAGGATAATCATATAAACCATCATAAGGTAAAGATGAACATTGTGGACTTGAAGTCATGTTTCCTCCCTTGTAGAATACTGTACCACTGAGAACAGTTTTATATACTTATGTAAACAGATGTACCTTGTATACACAGTGTTTAGATTTATTAAGTTCAAGCTTAAGTCTAGGCAAAGGTCAGGTTGGTACAAGTTGCACACGGTATAAGCCTAATCCAAAATGCACTCCGATGTCTAAAGTCTAAACATGAAAACCTCTGAACAGATACAAGATATTGCTGCTGGTGCTGATTCCACTTAAGTTAGAAAAAGGAATCTGATGGGAAGAAATTTTTCTTTCAAGGAAAATTACCAGCAGCTGCCTGGTTTAGAAAATCTTTTCTCTAGCTGTCTCAAAGTTTGAAAGTGATCTCAAACTTCCTATATTTTTGAATTTTTGAAACTGAGAATGCATTAGCAACAATAAAATGTCCCAACTGTCTTCACTTATTTGATGACTTTTTACACAAATACTATTCTTTACGTAACTTTCCCAAAATAGCAATTTCTTAGCATTGGTCAAAATTTCTTCCTCTTTGACAAAACCCTACTCTTTCTCTGTTTTTTTGCTTTCTTTGTTGTTATGTGTGTCATCATGCTTAAAGTTCTGAAGACTACCTTTTCCAAAGTCCACTAGGTTCTATTAAGTATTAACCATCGTTGTGCTCATCAACAAAATATATTAATGAATATGACCATGATTGTTTTATGAGCTAATCAGGACCATTTATTCTGTTTGTACTCATGGGCCATGGCATATATTGATGGAACCATCAGAGCAATCTATTGGTCATGAAAACATGTTTGTGCTGTCATGAACAAATGATGGAAAGTCATAAAAAGAGCCATATATTTTTAACAATGTGATTGAGAGGAGGGGATACCCATCCAATGGAATGGCTTAGATGATCAATATGTAGGTGGCTATTGGATAAATATATCTACAAGTTATTGAATAAGTGAATTAAAAAAAAAAAAAGAATTGATCCAATCAAAACTACAAGATGTAAGCGAGGGTGGGAGGGAAGGAGAAAGTGTTTTTATGTCATTTAAAAAATGATAATACAACAAACGATTTGATCAAGGGTAATTAGGACTTTTTGCCCTTGCTAATGTAATTTCACATTTATAAGGAGGAACCTTGGGGTGACTAATGGGAGTCATCTTTTGAACCAGGTAGCTCCTGGGGAATTTTCCTTTTCTTGGGCATTTAGTTGTGGGACTTGCAATAATTTGGTTGTTGAACTGAGACCTAGATTTATGAAATGACATCCTTTTTCCTTTTGGTGGTGGGGTGGGGTG